GGGGGGCAGGGAGGGTGCTTCGAGCCGAAGGAGGGAGGCTGTAGTTGGAGAGGGTGTTAGTGGCCAGGGCAACGACGGGCATTTATTAGCAGGGCCTAGACCTGACGTGCGGCGGCCGCGCCGCCCGAAATGGGTTCACGGACCGTGAGATTCGGACGGATATTAAACCGACGAGATTGAACATCCAATCATCAGTGCGGGCGCGGAACTCGAACTTCGGGCAATTTGCTTTGCTATTTATTACTATTTATTTACGTTTTCGTTAAATATTGGCATGCTGCATATTTGTCATTTTATCACAAACTACAACAACGTTTATTGGGGAGAAACTCTTACCTGCGTTACTGTGTGCTGAAGCAGGACGTATCTCAAATCATGGGAACACTTGAAGCTCTTGACGTTCAGTTGTCTCTGTAAAAGGAATGGAAAGTGAGATGAGTTGACCAGCACACAATTACAAAGCGTTGCAAGGTTCGCAAACTGCGAGGTATGCAGCTTCGTCATTCATTAAAAAAACACTTTGTAAACCTTTTCGCTTTGTTATTACAAAGTACAAAGCATTCATCCTCGCGTCGCAGCTCAATATACTTTGCAGAATTTCATCAGCTTTCAACAGTGCAGAGTGGGTTGGTAGGCACGATTTAACATCAACGTTCAAGGGGAAACATTTTGTGCCACGGGGTCGAATGCTTTTTCTGATGGAAAGCGGAATCTGCGAGGCGGGGGTAGAGAGATAGAGGGGAGCGGGTGGGAGAGCGGTCAGCGAGAGTTAAGCTGCTACTGATTCGATTATCTTATTCAGTGACTCGTCTCCCCATCCCCACCTACCGCCCCTCCACAAGCCCACCCCGCCCATTGTCACGTCGAGTTACTCCAAAGCTGACAAGTAATAAGGGCGAGATGGTTGTGCGACTTTATACTTTTGTTACAAAATTACTTTCCGCACTACTGTATTTTTCATCTTGATTAAGACGTACTACTTACACTGAGCTCGCCCCCGCCCTCTTTCCGCCACCGTACCCGACCCCCTTCCTGCCCCTCCCAGCCGACCGCCAGCACCGGTCGTGGCGCCCACTTTCAGTCGGTTCGAGTAAACTTTTGATGCTTCTTTGATTGCCCATTGACTCGCGGACCCCGGACCCCGTCCCAAGGGTAGCCAACCTCTCCCCATCCCCCCGTTTTTCCACCTCTTGACTCAAACGTGAAGACAAAAGCGGACAGACAATTTATGGTCTTCGGCAAGCAAATGTCGCGACCACTAATTCGTGCGATGAATTAACACAGCTCGCTCTAAATAGCCGTACCCGAGAGAACAAACATGTCTTTGCTTTTATATTGCCAAACCGTCTTTAAATCGAGTTGTGCCAGGGAAAATAAAAACATGAGTAGAAAAGTGGCCTACTAAAAGTGAAATCCCGCCCCTAAATTTTCGAAGAGGGAAAAAGTAAAGTAAACTGAATATGTTAAAAGTCGCGTCGTTCTTTCGTGTCGGGTAGGAGCTTGGAGCGCAGCAAGAGAACCACTGTCCTCGGCATCCACACCACAACGACACCCCCTAGGAATCCTACAAAAGCCTCCCTCTTGCCTCTCAACAGTTGGCTTTCTCCGCTCAGCCCTGGTCTGGTGATTCCCGCCGTGTGATGCTGTGTCCGCCCGCCCGTCCGCTATCCGTCTGTCGGTCCGTCCGCCCAGCCCGAGGCCTAGCCCGTTCGTGTGTCTGTCCGTCTGCGCGGCCGTTAGTCGGTCACCCGCACAAAGTGCGGCTGACCCGCCTAACCCTCCCCCGCCATGCCCTCGGGGAGGCCGGGGTGGCTCACTCCGCTGACACCCGTCCCGGCTTTCCTTACTATTTCCTCTGCCACTTCTGAAATGAAGAAAGTTTGAATCCGGCAGATTTGTTGGCAGAGTGAGTCCCCCAGCAGCCTATGGTTACTTCCCCTCCCCCTTTGCTCCGCTTCCAACCGCATATGGAGGCCCGCCCCCTCCTCTCCCCCGGGGCTGTCTTTTTATCTCCCAAGCTGCACCCGGCCTGTCGCTGAGCGTCATGATTGTGTGACTAGAACTGCCATCGCCCGTCTCCCCTCTTTAAGCTACATTTTTCAGACTTTGGGAGGTGGAAGAGAAACTGAATGGAGTGAATGAAGAAACTTGGATAGACCAAAAGTAATGTAACAGGAAATGCCTTGAGCAAAATTTCCCGGTGAATATCTGAATTTACCCGTGGATGGATGGATGGATGGGTGGGTGGGTGGGTGGATAAAAAGACAAGAAGGAAAAGAACCCTCCTCCAGCATGCTCTCTTGTCTCCGGACACAATAGCTGCTAATCACCCGTCATCTGTACGCACTTCCTTCTCTCTCCCCATCACCTCTCCCTCCTCATCTCTTACACTCACTCTCTCTCTCTTCCACCCTCGCTCTTTCTCCCCACCCCTTTACGCCCTTTCCCACTTTTCCCCAACTCTCTCGTTCGTTCGTCTTTATTACGCTCTACTGCCCCCTCCCCCTCTACTACCACCACACACTATCTCACTCCACACACACAGACACACACTTTTTTACTAGGACACCCTTTCTCCACACTGTCTGCACTGACAAGAAATTCTACTGGTTCTGGAGAAGGCGTCATTTCAAAAGAAACTAACCAGACACGCCCAACGCCCGCACAAACCATACTCTTTTTCCCACAGGCCCATATTTTTTCGTTTTGAGTCTCGGCCTTATTTCCCGCCCTCGCCCATCCTGCTGGAGCTGGGTGGCGGGGGATGCTACGGCGAGCTTTACAACGCGCGCCGGTTGCGTGAGCGCGAGGACGGCAGCCGGGCCCAGAGGCCGGGCCGGCCATCGCCTGACTCGCGGGGCCTCCGTGCTGCCGGGCAGTAACGTCAAAACAAGCTTTGCAGAACGTCGGCCCGACACCTCCCTATCTGACCGCTCGGCTCGCCCAGGCCCACCCGCACTAAAAACTACGGTGCGGCAAAGGCGGCAACGGTATCAAAAAGCCCCTGGAGAGTCGTCAACACGTAGCGCCAAGCGCACAGCCAGAGCACAAGCAGAGAGAGACCGCAGGGTCTAATGTAATAACAGAATTATTAGTTTCGTGTCTTAGAGCTTTCTTCATGAACCTTCGTTATGCAATGCGCCAGCAACAATGTAGCCTCGCCTATAACTCCGCAGCTTTTGTGACCACGCTCAAAAAGTATTTCCCGAGCACGAGCTACCCGTGAAATTACTACGCAATTTGTGATAGTATCATTGCCAATGGAATTATGCAGAAAGATTGCCTCTTCAGGTACCGGGTGGAAGAACCAAACGTTGTTTTCTGTTTGTCTTGTGAAGGTCATCGTACTCACCAGGGTGTGGTTGGTGACGAGCAGCGAAACGTTGTTGTTGGTGGTGTCGAGAACGGACAGCGCGCCGTCGTCCGCCTGGTACACGAGGTGCGTGGAGTCGACCCAGGCCGGGGGCAGCCGCTGGCTCGCCAGGTCGCCGGCAAGCAGCTCCTCGAGCCGCATACGGCGCCCGGACCAGTACAGCAGCTCGTCCACGTAGCCCAGCAGGTAGATGGCCGTGACGATGCCCGAGATGACCAGGCCGATGACGAGAAGCGAGAAGATGATGGAGCGCCAGTTGTGGCCGTCCCCCGAACCCGGGTACAGCAGCTCCTGCAGACACGGCGAACGTCAGGCGCGGAAGGGAGCAGCGGCGTCGCGCGGGGGGAGAGGGCGAGAGACAGGCAGAGAGCCCTGGTGTGTGTGTGTGAGAGCAAGAGAGAAGTATGCTCTTCTCTCTTTCCGGGCACCACTCATGGGGAGCCGTCTACTCGGCGTCTCTCGCATACTCACCACCCCGCCGCACCACTAGGTGGTGGCGGCAGCCGGGACGTATCCGTACCATTTTACAGTGAATTTACTTTGGCGCCTCCGCCTCACGGCCCGGGTCAGCCAACGTCCCGTCAAGGCTTCGGGGGCCCGTGATGCGTGAAAACAACTGAAGCACAAAGGCGAAGGAGGGGTACTAGTTATTATCTGAGTCAGTTTTCAAAAACCGATTGATTGTTTTGTGACTTTTCGGGGGAATCGGTCTTCAAGTAACAAAACATCAGTTAGGATTGCAATGCATATACAGATATTTTTTAAAAAATTATCATTACTCAAATTCAAAGTGTTAAAAAGAATTTGAAAGGTTCGGATACGCCTCAGCTACGTGCAAGCTTGTCGGTTAGTTAGTTCAGTTATTCGTGTTAAAAAAACGTTATTATTTCGCTCAAACAAGAACTCAAAAACAACTCTTTCACCGCTCCTACTTCCGACAAACTTGCTGTAGAGAATAAAACATGCGCCTATTTCGTACTTTCTAGCTGTCAACAGTATTATCATGGGCTAGTGTTATGTGTAAAATAGGTGTGAAAAAAACATAAATGACTACATCAGCAGACTTGTGAGAAGTACTACAGTGGAAAGGGGTCTGAAGTTAAAAATACGAAAGCAAACAATTCCTTATTCTTTTAAAATTAAATATTCAGTTTGAGCCCAGGGAAGAGAATTTTGTTTTCTGATTTAAGACGCGCTTGTGGATCCAGATCTGGGGAAAGTCTGGGGGGGAGGGGCGACACGGACGGCTGCAGGCAGGCGGCGCCTCCCCATTGTCCCCGTAATTGGGCCGGCGGCGCGACAATGCCATGTCAGACAATAAAATAAACAACAATTAAAGGCGCGGCGCCCAGGCGACGCGTTCGGGTCCGCGCGACGCGACACGGACGTATACTGGCGAAAACCGGCGAGAATTTCTCAGCCGGAAAATCGGGAATCGATTACATCCTTGGATACGTTCAGGCTGCTGCGTGGGGAGCAGCGGGAAGCTGGCCGGGCTGGAGAGTAAAGAGGAAGGGTGAGGAGGGGGCCAGGCTAGGGGGTGAGAAGCCCAAAGAGATGGGGAAGGAAAAGGATACAAGGCAAACGGGACGCACGCCAGAGGCGAGGCAGGCAGGGTGGCTACACCCGCATCGTGCTGCGAGAGACGCGGCGGGACAGAACAGCCAAACGACGTAAATTAAATTAACCAAAGATATCAAATTCCGCGTCTTATTTGGGCAGGCTGGCCTCGCCCCAAAGTGTCAGGCAGAGGGAAAAAAATGTATCATATTTTCCATTTATTGCCATTTCCATTGATCTATTGACTTATCTGTCAAACCAATGGAAACATTTTCTGTGAGAAGTGGGCCGTGCGGAATGAGGCTTCTGCGCTACAGTCGCTTCTCTAGCACTTTTTTTTTAGACAAAACTTTACAGGAAACGTTTATCCTGATAACTGAAGAATTTAACTAGGAAACACTTTGCGCCAGCGTTTTGAACTCTTCTAAGCGTTCAGGCAGCTTCCTGTAATTTTAAAACTGTTAGGCGTCCAACTGCAGTTAGTGCGCGGGATTCCGAGGGACATAAGAACCGCAATCATGCCGCCATCTGTACGACTTTCATTCCAAAATTTGTGCTTTCTTGATAACACGAATACTTCACACGGGATGCTCGTTCGAGCTGCAGCTTGATTCGGGCTAGATTGCAGTGTGGCGTTGCTTATCTAAGGTGGGCAAGGACGATTGCATGATTATTATTATTATTCCACGGATCCGCCCTCCGCCGCCGCTGTCCGCGCCTCGTCGCCGTGTTGCGTGACTGACCGCGACTTACTGTGCGAGCGCGCCAAATTATCCCGAATTACCCCCGCCCCGTCCTCCACCCTTACTATAGTTCCGGCCCCCCTCCCCCTCTTTCTCTCGCACACGGAGCTGGGGCCTGCCCGACCCATCCGGGGCCCAAATCCGGGGAGTGCTATTCATTTAGAGGCACGGAAAGGCGGGCGCGGAGGGACGCTTGATGTGTTTGCCCTCCAAACAACACCGAGCCGGTGCTCAAGGGCCGACCGACTGGGCTGGAGGGGGCGTGCGCGGCCAGTCCGGTCCACCTCGAGGTAATCCCGGGCGCAGCCAACAGTTCTTCTCGCGATCAAAAAGCGAAACGCAGCCGACGAAGAAGGGGTGGGGGTGGGGGACATGTCCCCCCAAGATCCACAATTGTTTGCAAGTCGCGCAGGGCTACTAACATGGCAAAGGCAGGCTTCTCGCGGCTTATCAGTTCGATCGGGATCGGAACTGCCATCAACTAAGGGGCGCCTAGTTTTAACTACAGCTGGGAAAACACTCAGTGCAATGCAGACCAAACAGCGTACTTATTTCACACAAGAAAGAGTGTGCTTGCGAGCACACACATACTTGCCACAGTTCACACAAGGAAGATATTACTATATTTGTGTGCTTCGAAGTACAATCTTCCTTGCATGTACTTGTAAGTACACTGGTTTTCCAGTGTTATCTTGACCATAGCATTAAAAACTAGCCATATTTTTTGGGAACATCGTTTTTTATCCTAATAATAATGTGATTAGGAAGAGCTAGCTTTCTCACAAGTCTGGCGTCTTAACTAAAGATAGATTCAAGAAGAAGTGCGAACCTATCATGATCATGCTGAAAGTCTAATTTTGTTTGTGGTAAAGAATTGAGCTTCTACTTTGTGTTGTCGACGATATGTTACTATAATGATGCTTTTTATGGTGACTGCTCTATCTCTCTTGCGGCTATGGCAATACACTACGTTCTTATGCTAGTGTGGAAATAATAATTGTTTATGTAGAAATTATTTCAAAATAGTTTCTAAAGATAACTATAGTATACGTTCAAGAGGTAAAATAGAAGCGGCATCCACGTATATAGCTGTAAAGATTGTGAAACTTAATATTAGTTCAGGACGCAAACGTGATGAAATCGTGCAATATTAGAAAACAGAGCACCTCACAAAACCACAGGCAACATACTAGCATCAAGTTCCAGCAGCCAACAGTACTTTAACAGATGAGATTAGTCGAGGAGAAAACAGAATAGGTTAGATCAATCATACATTGGTCTTCACTAAAATCATACAAGGTGAGGCTATATCAGAGAGAAAAGGTGCTTGAGAAAAAGTGCAAAAACTACAACTAAAGGTTAACTAGCTGTATCAAATGTCGTGACCCCACACACTACTCTCCCCCACCACATGGCATAGGACCCATCTTGGTGTGTGTGGGACCAGCAAGTACATTTGAGTGTTAGGCACGCTATACCAACCAGCCTGCCGCCACTGGAGGGCAGGGACCAAGCTGCTCTACAGGTAGAGTGAAGACAAGTGACCGCTAAACACCGACACATTCAGAGTTATATACACCACTTTCAGGCATAGAGAATCGAGGCACATGGCAGACCACGCAGAGTCGACTTCACTCCGAAACCTTTGCTTGGTTCATATTCCACATGTAAGGGATCAAAACGGTCAAGCACTTGTCAATAGCTTATAAGTATGAGAGCACAAGCACAAGAGGTTCCGTGTTCAGCCTATTTTCAAGGCAAGGGACGGCACTTCACAACTGTTCGATGTACAAGACGAGAGGGTGTGCATCATGAAAGTGCTACTCTGGGGAAATGAAGACCAAGACTAAGCCAAAAGGAGCCAGAAGATGATCCACGTGTTAGGCATGACATCAAGAAGAGACCGCAGAAGATAGGATGTACTCTAGTTAACGACATCGAAACAAACAAGATACTGAAAACGAGCGCGGGCCGAGACGAATGCTATTGGTCTGCCCACACCAGCCTCTGGAGTTCTTCCCTTGGGTTCAAGACCATGGAGGGCAATGCACCACCAAACAAGACATGCAGTGATGATATCGTCCTGAACACGCTAAACATGCTTCACAACTGGAATAATTCACATTACACAATCCCAATCCAATTTATCACTTAATACCATTGTTCGTGTTCAGGTCGCTTGTAAAACGGAATACTGCAAGTGGTGCTTTGTCAGTCCTTGCGTGCAAGGGTCTTGAAATCAGGTCCACGAATCTCGACAACCCCTCCTGTGCAAACTCCCACCCCTTGAGACACAGGCGCGCCAGCGACATACTACATGAATATCCCAGGATCTCGTCCCAGCCCATGTCGCGACGTCACTCTCTCTTTTATTGAGGCTGTGTCGCATTAAAACTTCATAACCGACACCAGCGGGCGGCCTGATGCCTGCAGAAGTGCAGACACTGCTGTAACAAACTTCACTAATGCTCAGCAAAAGCCCGAATGAAAAGATTATGGAAGTGGCAAAAAGGTGATAATGTAACCCTCCTCGAAGCAATGCTTCGTGTGCCACGAGTTGCATCACCAGCAAGTAGGGCAAACGTCAGAACATAATGTATGACCCTTCCCATCTTCCACAGCTTATATATTATTTAAAAATCTATTCAGATCT